TAACATTTTTTGTAAAAAAAAAATTTTTGTTGTAATACACACCCTAGAACGATGAAATCCGGAAAAAAATGTATGCCATCCGATTTCTACACTTCCAACTTAAAGTTCTATATAGGTCTTTATCGTGCACAAGATCGTCCGATAGTAGTTCTATATCAATTTATATTCACTTCCATAATAACATTTTTTGTAAAAAAAAGTTTGTTGTTGTAGTACACACCCTAGAACGATGAAATCCGGAAAAAAATGTATGCCATCCGATTTCTACACTTTCAACTTAAAGTTCTATATAGGTTTTTATCGTGCACAAGATCGTCCGATAGCAGTTATATATCAATTTATATATACTTCCATAATAACATTTTTTGTAAAAAAAAAGTTTGTTGTTGTAGTACACACCCTAGAACGATGAAATCCGGAAAAAAATGTATGTCGTCCGATTTCTACACTTCCAACTTAAAGTTCTATATAGGTTTTTATCGTGCACAAGATCGTCCGATAGCAGTTATATATCATTTAATATATACGGCCATAGTAACATTTTTTGTAAAAAAAAAGTTTGTTGTTGTAGTACACACCCTAGAACGATGAAATCCGGAAAAAAATGTATGCCATCCGATTTCTACACTTCCAACTTAAAGTTCTATATAGGTCTTTATCGTGCACAAGATCGTCCGATAGTAGTTCTATATCAATTTATATTTACTTCCATAATAACTTTTTTGTAAAAAAAAAGTTTGTTGTTGTAGTACACACCCTAGAACGATGAAATCCGGAAAAAAATGTATGCCATCCGATTTCTACACTTCCAACTTAAAGTTCTATATAGGTCTTTATCGTGCACAAGATCGTCCGATAGTAGTTCTATATCAATTTATATTTACTTCCATAATAACATTTTTTGTAAAAAAAGTTTGTTGTTGTAGTACACACCCTAGAACGATGAAATCCGGAAAAAAATGTATGTCATCCGATTTCTACACTTTCAACTTAAAGTTCTATATAGGTTTTTATCGTGCACAAGATCGTCCGATAGCAGTTATATATCAATTTATATATACTTCCATAATAACATTTTTTGTAAAAAAAAAGTTTGTTGTTGTAGTACACACCCTAGAACGATGAAATCCGGAAAAAAATGTATGTCGTCCGATTTCTACACTTCCAACTTAAAGTTCTATATAGGTTTTTATCGTGCACAAGATCGTCCGATAGCAGTTATATATCATTTAATATATACGGCCATAGTAACATTTTTTGTAAAAAAAAAGTTTGTTGTTGTAGTACACACCCTAGAACGATGAAATCCGGAAAAAGATGTATGCCATCCGATTTCTACACTTCCAACTTAAAGTTCTATATAGGTTTTTATCATGCACATGATCATCCGATAGCAGTTATATATCATTTTATATATACGGCCATAGTAACATTTTTTGTAAAAAAAAGTTTGTTGTTTTAGTACACACCCTAGAACGATGAAATCCGGAAAAAAATGTATACCATCCGATTTCTACACTTCCAACTTAAAGTTCTATATAGGTCTTTATCGTGCACAAGATCGTCCGATAGTAGTTCTATATCAATTTATATTTACTTCCATAATAACTTTTTTGTAAAAAAAAAGTTTGTTGTTGTAGTACACACCCTAGAACGATGAAATCCGGAAAAAAATGTATGTCGTCCGATTTCTACACTTCCAACTTAAAGTTCTATATAGGTCTTTATCGTGCACAAGATCGTCCGATAGCAGTTATATATCATTTAATATATACGGCCATAGTAAAATTTTTTGTAAAAAAAAAGTTTGTTGTTGTAATACACACCCTAGAACGATGAAATCCGGAAAAAAATGTATGTCATCCGATTTCTACACTTCCAACTTAAAGTTCTATATAGGTCTTTATCGTGCACAAGATCGTCCGATTGCAGTTATATATCAATTTATATATACTTCCATAATAACATTTTTTGTAAAAAAAAAGTTTGTTGTTTTAGTACACACCCTAGAACGATGAAATCCGGAAAAAAATGTATACCATCCGATTTCTACACTTCCAACTTAAAGTTCTATATAGGTCTTTATCGTGCACAAGATCGTCCGATAGCAGTTATATATCAATTTGTATATACTTCCATAATAACATTTTTTGTAAAAAAAAAGTTTGTTGTTGTAGTACATACCCTAGAACGATGAAATCCGGAGAAAAATGTATGTTGTCCGATTTCTACACTTCCAACTTAAAGTTCTATATAGGTCTTTATCGTGCACAAGATCGTCCGATAGCAGTTATATAACAATTTATATATACTTCCATAATAACATTTTTTGTAAAAAAAAAGTTTGTTGTTGTAGTACACACCCTAGAACGATGAAATCCGGAAAAAAGTGTATGTCATCCGATTTCTACACTTCCAACTTAAAGTTCTATATAGGTTTTTATCGTGCACAAGATCGTCCGATAGCAGTTATATATCAATTTATATATACTTCCATAATAACATTTTTTGTAAAAAAAAAGTCTGTTGTTGTAATACACACCCTAGAACGATGAAATCCGGAAAAAAATGTATGTCGTCCGATTTCTACACTTCCAACTTAAAGTTCTATATAGGTTTTTATCGTGCACAAGATCGTCCGATAGCAGTTATATATCATTTAATATATACGGCCATAGTAACATTTTTTGTAAAAAAAAGTTTGTTGTTGTAGTACACACCCTAGAACGATGAAATCCGGAAAAAAATGTATGCCATCCGATTTCTACACTTCCAACTTAAAGTTCTATATAGGTTTTTATCATGCACATGATCGTCCGATAGCAGTTATATATCATTTTATATATACGGCCATAGTAACATTTTTTGTAAAAAAAAGTTTGTTGTTTTAGTACACACCCTAGAACGATGAAATCCGGAAAAAAATGTATACCATCCGATTTCTACACTTCCAACTTAAAGTTCTATATAGGTCTTTATCGTGCACAAGATCGTCCGATAGTAGTATCAATTTATATTTACTTCCATAATAACATTTTTTGTAAAAAAAAAGTTTGTTGTTGTAGTACACACCCTAGAACGATGAAATCCGGAAAAAAATGTATGTCGTCCGATTTCTACACTTCCAACTTAAAGTTCTATATAGGTTTTTATCGTGCACAAGATCGTCCGATAGCAGTTATATATCATTTAATATATACGGCCATAGTAACATTTTTTGTAAAAAAAAAAGTTTGTTGTTGTAGTACACACCCTAGAACGATGAAATCCGGAAAAAAATGTATGCCATCCGATTTCTACACTTCCAACTTAAAGTTCTATATAGGTTTTTATCATGCACATGATCGTCCGATAGCAGTTACATATCATTTTATATATACGGCCATAGTAACATTTTTTGTAAAAAAAAGTTTGTTGTTGTAGTACACACCCTAGAACGATGAAATCTGGAAAAAAATGTATGTCATCCGATTTCTACACTTCCAACTTAAAGTTCTATATAGGTTTTTATCGTGCACAAGATCGTCCGATAGCAGTTATATATCAATTTATATATACTTCCATAACATTTTTTGTAAAAAAAAAGTTTGTTGTTGTAGTACACACCCTAGAACGATGAAATCCGGAAAAAAATGTATGTCATCCGATTTCTACACTTCCAACTTAAAGTTCTATATAGGTCTTTATCGTGCACAAGATCGTCCGATAGCAGTTATATATCATTTAATATATACGGTCATAGTAAAATTTTTTGTAAAAAAAAAGTTTGTTGTTGTAGTACACACCCTAGAACGATGAAATCCGGAAAAAAATGTATGCCATCCGATTTCTACACTTCCAACTTAAAGTTCTATATAGGTCTTTATCGTGCACAAGATCGTCCGATAGCAGTTATAAACAATTTATATATACTTCCATAATAACATTTTTTGTAAAAAAAAGTTTGTTGTTGTAGTACACACCCTAGAACGATGAAATCCGGAAAAAAGTGTATGTCATCCGATTTCTACACTTCCAACTTAAAGTTCTATATAGGTCTTTATCGTGCACAAGATCGTCCGATAGCAGTTATATATCAATTTATATATACTTCCATAATAACATTTTTTGTAAAAAAAAGTTTGTTGTTGTAGTACACACCCTAGAACGATGAAATCCGGAAAAAAATGTATGTCATCCGATTTCTACACTTCCAACTTAAAGTTCTATATAGGTCTTTATCGTGCACAAGATCGTCCGATAGCAGTTATATATCAATTTATATATACTTCCATAATAACAATTTTTGTAAAAAAAAAGTTTGTTGTTGTAGTATACACCCTAGAACGATGAAATCCGGAAAAAAATGTATGCCATCCGATTTCTACCCTTCCAACTTAAAGTTCTATATAGGTTTTTATCATGCACAAGATCGTTCGATAGCAGTTATATATCATTTTATATATACGGCCATAGTAACATTTTTTGTAAAAAAAAGTTTGTTGTTGTAGTACACACCCTAGAACGATGAAATCCGGAAAAAAATGTATGCCATCCGATTTCTACACTTTCAACTTAAAGTTATATATAGGTTTTTATCGTGCACAAGATCGTCCGATAGCATTTATATATTATTTTCTATATATGACCATAGTATTATTTTTTGAATGTTTTTTATTAAAAGGCATTCTGTAACGATATAATCCCAAATATATTTATATTTTATCAGATTTGTTCCTTTCCACATTTATATACATATTTTAATTGATCAAAAATAATTTTTTTAAAGTAAATCATGAAAATCAATTTTTTGAATCTTTTCCACGTGCATAAACACATATTGAAAATGTAAATATTGAAAACGAGTTTTTGCGTCTTTTCCACGTGCACAAACAAATATTTGTAAACAAAAAAAACTCACCATACCAAAAAAAAATGTTTATTTTGATAAAACAGCTGTTGCGGTTTGTTTTATTTTTCGTCGGGTTGTTTTCTTTATGTGCGTTAAAAATTAATATACCATGAAATTAGTGGGAAACTTTTGCAAAAGCTCGCAAAATTGCTTTCCTAAATTATCAAGTAACCAGTAACCAAATAGTTAATACTTTTACAACACAACCTGCAATTGTCAATTCTCCAATAAATTAATTCAAACATTGTTTTATATTCCATGTTTCCCGGTTTTTATCAATATTTATAAAATAAAAGAATTATACGAAATGAATCTTCAAGACAGCAGCTTAAATACATCACAACAATGTAAGTTAATTAAGAAAACTCTGGAAATTCTTTATTAAAATAATACATATTATTTATTTCTATCAGCTGCCTTTTCCGAATCCGTTTTAGAGGAATCCGCCACTCTCAATCACAATGTAAATTTTAGTAAATTAGATTTTAGTCAAATACTAACCGAGGAATCCACATTACAAAACAGTAAAACTATTTCAGAATCCTCACCTAAACTGAGTATAACTTTGGAGCAGGAAGAAAGGGATATATTGCGCAAAAAATGTGTTAATGGCAATAGTTCACAGATGGATGTAACACAAACAACAAATGGTTGTTTACAATCAACAGCAGATACCCTAAAGGAGGCAACTTTAACAAAGTCTCGCAGAAATACTAGTAATAAAGAAATCACCATGGAATTAAGTGATGATGAGGATAATGCTGAAGAAAGTGTTATACCGGTCGAAGAAGATGATGACGATGATGATGTGGAAGAAATAAGTACTATGGAGTGCTCAGCGATAGAACAAACACAAAAAGATATGTTTTCACATTTACAACCCAATAAAACTGCCGGAGAAAATGAGAAAGTATCGGATGAAACACATAATGAACCAGAAATGACTGAGACCATTATAGAGCAGGACACATCACAATTTTTGCCCGATGAAAGTAAATTATTTCGTTATCCTTTGATAGAAGTTGGACGTAGACTATGGCCTTCAACGGCGGAGAAGCAAAATTTTACGAAAGGATGTTTATGGTCACCGGATGGTACTTGTTTATTGGTGCCAGTGCATTTGGATGGTTAGATATGGAAAAATTAGTAAAAATTAAAATTCTTCTTATATTAAGATTCTTTTAGGAATGCACATTGTAGAATTGCCCACAGATTTATACACCGTGCAAGAATTGGATGCCGAAAGAAGTCTGAGTGATTTGGCTTCGGCGGTGCATGTAAAAGAGGGTGGTACTGTTTATGATTGTTGTTGGTATCCTTTTATGAATAGTTCAGATCCAGCTACATGTTGGTAAGCTTTTGTCATTTTAAAAATTTTGTTAGAATTAATAAAATTATATTATTTTAGTTGGCTTGCTACTAGACAACATGAACCCATACACATGTGGGATGCCTTTTCAGGGGAGTTAAGATGTTCTTATCGTGGCTACGATGAGGTAGATGAAGTCGAATCAGCCATTTCCATAATATTTAGCAATTGTGGCGAAAAAGTTATAGGTGGATATAAGAAAACCATTAAAATATTTGATACTAATATGTAAGTCTTTGAAATATTACAAAGAAATTTATTTAAATGTATATTTGTTTTAAATTCCTAAAGACCAGGTCGTGCTTGCTCGACGATACCAGTAAAAAAAGCCGTTTCCTGTTTTGCCTTAACTACTGACAATGATAATTGTGTTACCGCGGGTACATGGACAGGTTATATAAATCATTATGATTTAAGGGCTCCCAAATTGGGCCCCTTATTTACCTTGGGTGGCCATAGTGGTGGCATAACCTGGTTAAAATATTCTCCCACATTAGATCAAAATTGGTATTTATTTAGTGGTGCCCGTAAGGACAGGAAAATCTTGCAATGGGATATGCGTAACTATACTGAACCATTGCAAGTATTTGAAAGAAATGTGGAGACTAACCAAAGAATTTATTATGATTTAACACCTATGAAGACATGGTTAGCCAGTGGTGATACCCAGGGTTTATTAAGGATATGGAATTTGGGCGATAAGGCGCAACAATATGAGGTTTTTTATTTGTTAAAAGCCTTCTTAGGAGTTGTTTTTTTCTATGTATGTTTTTTCTTTTTATTTCCAGTTACCTTTACATCAGGATTGCTGCAATGCTGTAAGTTTTCATCCTTCTTTACCTATACTTACCACTACCTCAGGTCAATATCATTTTGTGGATGTTACAAATTCAGAGAGTGGCGATTCCTCGACGGAAAATATTGTAGATTATGAAAATTCCTTGTTGTTTTTGTGGTATGGTCCTTCGAAAGGAAGTCAACATTAAATTATTAAATAAAGAAAATATTTCGCAGTGAAATACTGCCAAGTTCAAAATTTACAGGTTAGTTATTGAAAAGTTATTTCATTTTTTGATAGTATTAGTCGGGACACTTACAAAACCTGCAGGTTAACTTTACCCAATAAACCAAACGATAAAGTTTACCCAGTAAACGAATCGAAATTACTTAAGTGATAAAAACTATCATAAGTGATAGTCGTTCTTGTATCGAGAATTGGAAAAAAACGTTTAAAATATTCTTTTAAAAAAAAGACATTTGGAGATTTCTAATAATGTAATTTTGAACATTTTTTAAAAGTAAATTTGAAAAATTTTGATATAAAATAGAATTTTTGAAAAAATTTCTAAAATAATTTTGAAATTTTTTTTTATAAAACGAATATTTTTAAAAATTTACATCAAAATGTAAAAAATTAGAGAAATATTGAAAACATTATATCAAAATGTAAGATTTTGAAAGTTGTTTGAATAACGTTCAAACACAATTTTAATTCCAAACACAGTATTTTTTGTTTTAAAACACTTTCAGCTTTATGAAAAGTCTATTAACTCTAGTTTATTTCTTTTATAGTTTTTCTTCAATCAACTTTTCCGGGAAGAAAAATTACGAAACTTTTGTTCACTTAAAATCAAGAAAAAATGCACTGATACAAAAGAAACACATTTATAAAAATTAAATTAAAATTTAAACACCGGAATACTTTTAACTTTGAGCACATCCTTAGGAAGCTCTACCGCCACTGCAACTACCTCCCCTCGAACTTAGAATCTCTTCAAAAACTCCTCAGCACAAGTACGGGCACGGGCATTGACAGCCAATTTCATTTCACTGATTTCCTTATCAATTTCCTCCATAAAGCTGATGACAAAATCTACCAATTTATGTTTGTACATCTGCTCCGTATGGAAATTGGTAATCAAAAAGCTAATATCATAACCATCAATAGGTTTACGTCTCAAAATGATAAAGGATTCAGCACGACGCATCATGAAACGGGTGAATTTGTGACAAAGAATCTTTTCAATTTCATCGGCCTGTTTGACGGCAATACTGACACGCACTGAATTGATGGAGGGTTCAATAAGGACACGTTCTCTTTCGTTGCGGGATATGACCACAGGTGTTAAAATCAATTCCTTGCTAGAGCAGACCTCTACCTCTGGTTTGTTGTGTCTCTCTACCACCTGCGAAGCAAAGTCTTGTAAACACATTGCTGCGGTTAAGGAATGGCGTACAGCAGTCAGATATGGTTTCAAAGTAGCAGCCATTACGGAAACTTTTGTTGTAAATTGTTAAAAGTAAATATTTTTCAATTCTTTTAATGTTTTTTAACAAAAATGAATCACTTATAGGTGTTTTTATCAGCAGAGAAGGAAAATATGCAAAACAACACCCGAGAATGACAAATGAACGAATGAAATGTCAAAATAAATATAACAACACAGAGTTGCATGTTTGAAAGAAAATACCAGTATTTTGTTACAACAAAGTTGCCAGATGATGGGTTTTGAAAGGTAAGTGGAAAATAATGTTTTTTTTACTTTATTGATACATTTTATATAAATTTTTAAAGAAATTCAATATTTTGGTAAAGAAAATTTTCCATAAATTTTAATTCTTATAGAAAAAATTTCTTTTTGTGCTAAATTTTGCTTAAATTTTATTTTTAGAGAAACTTTTCGATAAATTTAGTTTTTTAATAGGAAATTTTCGAAAAAAAAAATTTTATAAAACATTTGCGATTATATTTTAAAAAATATTTTCGATAACTTTTCTTTTTCATAGAAAATGTTCTTTTTTCAAATTTTCGATAAATTTTATTTTTATAGAAAATTTTCGATAAACTTTATTTTTATTAGGAATTTTCGATAAATTTTATCTTTATTGAAAATGTTTCTCTTTTTATAGAAAATGTTCTCTTTTTATAGAAAATGTTCTCTTTTTATAGAAAATAATCTTTTTCTCGATAAATTTTATTTTTATAGAAAATTTTCTATAAATTTTCTTCTTTAAAGAAAATTTTCCATAAATTTTCTTTTTTATAGATAATTTTCGATAAATTTTATTTTTATAGAAAATTTTCGATAAATTTTATTTTTATAGAAAATTTTCGATAAATTTTATTTTTATAGAAAATTTTCGATAAATTTTATTTTTATAGAAAATTTTCAATAAATTTTATTTTTATAGAAAATTTTCGATAAATTTTATTTTTATAGAAAATTTTCGATAAATTTTATTTTTATAGAAAATTTTCGATAAATTTTATTTTTATAGAAAATTTTCGATAAATTTTATTTTTATAGAAAATTTTCGATAAATTTTATTTTTATAGAAAATTTTCGATAAATTTTATTTTTATAGAAAATTTTCGATAAATTTTGTTTTTATAGAAAATTTTCGATAAATTGTCTTTTTTATAGAAAATTTTCGATAAATTTTATTTTTATAGAAAATTTTCGATAAATTTTATTTTTATAGAAAATTTTCGATAAATTTTCTTCTTTAAAGAAAATTTTCCATAAATTTTCTTCTTTAAAGAAAATTTTCCATAAATTTTCTTCTTTAAAGAAAATTTTCCATAAATTTTCTTCTTTAAAGAAAATTTTCCATAAATTTTCTTCTTTAAAGAAAATTTTCTATAAATTTTCTTCTTTAAAGAAAATTTTCCATAAATTTTCTTCTTTAAAGAAAATTTTCCATAAATTTTCTTCTTTAAAGAAAATTTTCCATAAATTTTCTTCTTTAAAGAAAATTTTCCATAAATTTTCTTCTTTAAAGAAAATTTTCGATAGATTTACTTCTTTAAAGAAAATTTTCGATAGATTTTCTTTTTTATAGAAAATTTTCGATATTTTTTTTGTAGAAATTTTTCGATAAATTTTCTTTTTAAAGAAAATTTTCGATACATTTTAATTTTTAAAGAAAATTTTCAATAAATTTTCCTTTTATACAAAATTTTTGATAAATTTTACTTTTTTATAGAAAATTTCGATAAATTTTCTTTTTATACAAAATATTCGATAAATTTTCCTTTTTGTAAAAAAATATTTTAGAATTTTTTAAATACATTTTAGTAGTTCTTTTTTTATTAAATTTAATTGATAAATCCCTTTACTCACTTTATTCCCCCCGATTTTTTGGCACCCATTGCAAATAATTCCTCTGGGTGGCCGCCTCATATTCTTGAGCCAAACAATCGATAACATCTCGAGAATTATCTAATTCAGATAAATCATCTTTAAACATATCTTCACGGCGAAATTGATCCAAAAAGGCACCTCTCTTACGCAACTTATCATATTGAGCCAGAGAACGATTAAACAGGGAACTAATGCCCGTATGATTGGCCATCATTAGGCCCGAAACCTTATGATTACTTTGTATATAAGGGGAACTTCTGGACAATGCCACTTGTATACTGGCCGGACCCCAGGGTATAAATTGAGCCAATTTGCGTTCACGTATACGTTGTAGGGATTTGTGGACTTGAGTGGGATCTACTTCACCCTAAAAAAGTTATAAATATGCTTTAAATCGTGTTTTCAGATTTTAATTTATATAAGTTCACCTGTATAATGTTCAATATGGAAATATAACAATGAATATTAGCTTTATCCGGACCCGAAGAAACCATCATGTTTTTGGGCTGCAATAAACGCCTCATAACATCTAGAACCGTAGTTTTGCGTATATTCAAATTGGGCTAGATAATACAAAGTATTCATTTGAGGATTTTGTTTTTTAAGAAAAGGTCCCTACTTACATCACTATCTGTAGTAAGAGGAGTATAACCGGTCATTAGAAAATGTAATTGCGGTGTTGGTATCAGAGGAGCCGTTAATCCTATCAAATTATTATTCATATATGAAGGATAACGCAGGGTCGTAGTACTAACCGACATTATGGTCGATACCAAAGTATTAATTTGGGTAAAAGTAGGATTTTCAATATGCAAACGCTCTGAAGCTATACGATTCAAAGCGGTATTATCTAAGACCACAACACAATCTGCACAATTGGTTAATCTCTTCAATGTTAATATAGAATTATAGGGTTGTACTACCACATCACTTATTTCATCTTGATTGGGAAATACACTATAGGTTTGTAAAAGTTTTTTGGGAAAACGATCAGAGAGACGTTCCAACATATATGAACCCATACCGGACCCAGTGCCACCAGCTATGGAGTGACAAAGTACAAAACCTTCCAACGAATCACTACCGTCGGCTTCACGATCGATAATATCGAAAACTTCCTCTTGTAGCTTTTCGCCCTGACTAAAACCGGAGGCCCAGTTGTTGCCAGCACCGCCACCATGTTTGGAAAGATAAACATTTTCGGGGTTATAGAGCTAGAAGTAAAGTTCAAATTTTTCTATAGAAATCTTAAGTAGAACAGAACTAGAACAGAACTAGAACAGAACTAGAACAGAACTAGAACAGAACTAGAACAGAACTAGAACAGAACTAGAACAGAACTAGAACAGAACTAGAACAGAACTAGAACAGAACTAGAACAGAACTAGAACAGAACATAAGAACATAATTAGAACAGAATAGAACAGAACTAGAACAGAACTAGAACAGAACTAGAACAGAACTAGAACAGACAACTAGAACAGAACTAGAACAGAACTAGAACAGAACTAGAACAGAACTAGAACAGAACTAGAACAGAACTAGAACAGAACTAGACAGAACTAGAACAGAACTAGAACAGAACTAGAACAGAACTAGAACAGAACTAGAACAGAACTAGAACAGAACTAGAACAGAACTAGAACAGAACTAGAACGAACTAGAACAGAACTAGAACAGAACTAGAACAGAACGATACAGAACTAGAACAGAACTAGAACAGAACTAGAACAGAACTAGAACAGAACTAGAACAGAACTAGAACAGAACTAGAGAACAGAACTAGATACAGAACTAGAACAGAACTAGAACAGAACTAGAACAGAACTAGAACAGAACTAGAACAGAACTAGAACAGAACTAGAACAGAACTACAGAATAGAACAGAAACTAGAAACAGAACTAGAACAGAACTAGAACAGAACTAGAACAGAACTAGAACAGAACTAGAACAGAACTAGAACAGAACTAGAACAGAACTAGAACGAACTAGAACAGACTAGAACAGAACTAGAACAGAACTAGAACAGAACTAGAAACAGAACTAGAACAGAACTAGAACAGAACTAGAACAGAACTAGAACAGAACTAGAACAGAACTAGAACAGAACTAGAACAGAACTAGAACAGAACTAGAAGACTAGAACAGAACTAGAACAGAACTAGAACAGAACTAGAACAGAACTAGAACAGAACTAGAACAGAACTAGAACAGAACTAGAACAGAACTAGAACAGAACTAGAACAGAACTAGAACAGAACTAGAACAGAACTAGAACAGAACTAGAACAGAACTAGAACAGAACTAGAACAGAACTAGAACTAGAACAGATCTATCTACTTCCAAAATGCAGTTTAATTCCTACAGTTTTACTTTACCTTGGCGTGCGTTGATGTCATTATCGTGTGTATGACACGTGGTTCCAAATCCAAAAGCACAGCTCTTGGTATATAATGATTATCATCGGCTTGATAGAAAAACACATCCTTGCGATCTAAACCATCAGTGGTGAAATCTTCCAAAAGCCCTGTAGGCGAAATTCCATGCTCCAGACACAAACGTTTCCAGAATTCGAAACCAACTGGTAGTAAAGAAGAGTTTAATCAAAAACTATCTCAATATTTATAAATTTTTAAATATACTTTGATTTCCACACTGTCCAAGTTGTAGGGTAATAATTTCACTGGGCATTTTCTTTTAATTCCAATTTTGTAATAAATAAATTTAATTTAATAAATTTTAAACAAACAAATAATAAATAAACTGATAATGAAGTAGTAACGATTACCGTTATAAATATATTGTTATTGTTGTTAAACTGATCTTACTTAACAAATTGAATCTTTACAAGTTTATCACAAGATAAAGATCGGACAATGTAGAGGAGATTTTGATAGTTTTTTTTAACATGAAGTTTGACATTTATATTAAGAAGAGAGTGAAATGTTAGCGACAAATTCCTTTCTCGGAATTGGCTCTTGGGGATGATCTTATAAAAATTGTAAATAACAGGGTTGGGAAATCAAAAACGTATACAAACATTGATTTTTATAATCATTGACAAGTTTTTTTTGTTAAAATCCCATTGTGCTCTAAAGAAAGTAGCATTTAAATATTTATTTATTAAAACGAAACTACTAAATCATTTTTGTATTTCTTATTTAGAAATTTAAATTCTAATTATTTGTATTTTTTTATTTACATTTCTCTTCCCTCATAATTTGCTGCAACCCACCTAAAAAATATAACATGTTTAACAAATATTTACAATAATTTAAATAATAAAATAAATAAATCTTAATCAAACAGT